AGACTCAGTATCCAGACAGAGCCCCAAAAGTCCGCCTTAAGTAGCTTCTTCAGATGCTACTTAAGGTTCAGATGCTATCTTCATTCTTTAGGTCTTCCACCTCCGATTTCCAGAACAGGGTGCGCACTGAAGGAGACCAAGTCTTTACAACCCATGCATGACATATATTCTAGTGACCTAGCAATTCAGCCCGACGAAGGTGTATAAGTCGGAGCTGTGAGGCGTTATTCCTAATTATTCTCCAGACAAGGATACGAAACATGTGCTAGTCATGTGTTCTCGAGCCAATGACATGCGTTCACTGTATTGTTTGGATCAAGCGCGGGGAATGACTGAAAGCTTTATTTTGAGGAGGAAAAGACGTCTTCAGACGCTTTGCATTCCAGATGTCGTCTATCAAAATTACAAATTACAAATACAATGGACATTCCCCATACTTCATGTTGATGCGCATGAAGCTTTCTCGACGTGATTGAGATGCTAGTAGGAGATGGTGGGATTCGGGTGAGGTGAGGTCATGATGGACAATTTATTATTTTGTAAGGAAGCTGCGGCGGGGCATCGCAAATCGAACAAGCGTGATCCACATTTATCGAAACCTGTCCATGTCTCTCATAGTATCTTTGACCAGGAAAGCAACACAGCAAGAAAAATTTGCAAGATTTCTTGGGAGGGCCAGGATCGTGACCATGCAGTACTGTGCATTGTTTCTAGGTTCTTGACCCTTTCAAGCTTTGAGCAGTATTGGATGGATCGTAGCGATGATCGGTGTACAGATGGCACAAGGTATAGATCACACCAAAATCAAACAATCGTTCATTGCCGTAGAATGCAACTCTTAGACGCAAAAAGGTTTCCGTTTCTTCGACTAGACTTATACCATGGTATTCTCTCTAACCATTGACCTCAGCAACTCCTCAGAATAACATCCAATCAGACAAACAAGCTAACTCCAAGCCGGAAAACAAGAGGTTTCCAACTCCAAACAAGACAAATCCAATGATGACGAAGATAAAAATGTGAACAGATGACTAGAAAGGAATAACAAGTTGTTCATAGGGATCTGGAGTCGTTGATGGGAACTATATTTTCTTTGACTTCAAAATTTTAGATGATTAATTGAGAAATGTAATATATAAGATTTAAAAGAACCCAGCATAAATAATGATGGGATTGAGTTAATATTAGTAATTTTTATTTTGGCTAATCTACATATGGCCATGAAAGACTTCAAGGGGTGAACAGAGTTATCACCTTCTAATGATGGAAAACATGAAGGAATAAACTAATAAACATTTTATACAGTTGGCGGTAAATTTTCTTCATATCCCGTAGAAAGTTTTTCAGGGACCATCAGTATTCGGTGAGGGGCAATCTGCCCAATTTGTTACAGCCAGTTTCTATGCCTATGGCCATCCCAAAGTATTCCTCACGCGTGAAGGAAAGAGAGTAAATCCGACTCACACAAGAATATAAGGATGAGACAGATAGAAGCCAGAGGTCGCGAGTGTCATCTAAGCGAAAAAGAAAGTAATGAAGGGGAAATGTTTACACCGTCTTAAAACGATCGATCAGTCAGTTAGTCAGTCAGAGTCTCTCTCTCTCTCATTCATGAGAATTTTCTGCAATTTTCCCCTCAGCCGAAATTTTCACGAAGGACAGATGTGTGACAATTTCAGAAGAAGGAAAATCAATCATGCCAACACAAAGAAACTGCTTATGAAACCATAAATTCTGTTCGTTACATATCTTCCAATAATTGTTGTCTGGAAGACATTAGACAAAACTGGACGTGCCGAGGGTTCGGATATCTGTACTGCAATGCACTACTCTAATATGCAATTTTTTGAGGGATAGACTGGAGGACTCGAGTGTTGAGAGATTCTAGAGACAAAGTAAACGTGCACCATCATGAACGAATTGACTCTTAGTAGCATGAGACAGCCCAAAGTTGTCATGTCTTAGAAAAGAATCCAGTGACACAGTTCTCTTTACTTTGTTGTGAGAAACCTACAATAGCATTTCCATGAACATCACCGGAAGAACCTTTGACTTTACTGGAATCCCAAGTCCAAGTGGACAGATATGTGTTAATGTACGGGCGTTGAGATATCCACCAGAAACAAGTGAAACCAGACAACTATAAGTTTCAAGACATGTTTGCCCTTTTGATTTTTACCGTCTTAAATTTTTACATCTTCAGTTTAGACAATGACGTTTTTTTTTCAGTGATATCACTTCATCCATACACATCAGAACATCCGATGGTGATTGCGAGTGAAATATGGCCGAGATAATACGCTGACGTCTACAATGTCAAGAGAGTGGAGATTGTTCGTCGACGTTGACTGTAGGAAGTAACTTCTTAAGGTACAGTTTAGGATCTATTTCATTGGCTAATGCGGCACACCTCCGCGGCCGAGGAACCTATTTGAGCACCTCAAGATTGAGTATTTTAAAAGAGAAGAGATCTAGGATTAAGTTACCTACCCTAGGTAACAACCAAGTAGAACAAGGGATGTAAGTTCCAAAATGAGAGAATGACCTACAACTTATCAATTTTCTGGAGGTGGGACGACTGGAGTGTACAAGAACCAGCAGTCACAGCTCACTGGGTTCCACATCACAAATAGAAGTGAAACATAGACAAATTGGAACGGTAACATCAAGGTCACGTCGGCAACGTCAGAAACAAAACTTTGAGAAACCGTGGACAGAACACCTCTGAGCAACTCATGTAAACGACACGTCGCTCGTTCTTTTCCATCTACAGTGCCATTCGACGGAGTCTTTACAGTCCTTTAATCCTTCGAAATAGTAAAGCTCGCTCTCTCCTGTCCTTTTCGGCATTACAACTAGTACGGCCCTCGTTCACAACTTGCGTACGCCAAGTCAACGTCTTAACTACCACTCACAGAACACGACATTCCATGAGTGCTACACTTTGCGCCCTCATGTTTGGGACTAGCGTACAATCCAGCTCAAAGTCGCGGTTCCGCAATCCACATCCTTAAACTCACTTTCTCACTTACGGTACCGCGTAAAGAAAAGAAAAAACACAATCAACAAACTTACGATATTCCCTCCATCGCTTACTCCGAATGCACTCCACTTTCTCGCCAGTATGTAGAGCACCTTGCCAGCATTCACCTCAACAATGAACTACGTGTTGCTCATTGCTCTCGCGCGAGAATGGAGTCGGAATCAATCAGAGGCTGACATAAGTCTCAAAGAGAACAGCACTGCATCTCATCAGGACGCAGAGCAGAACACCGTGCCCACTACAAAATGCTCTGAGTGTCGACGGTGGGGCCTCGTTGTCCAGCGCATTTTTAATGCAGCAGCGACGTACTTCAGCGGGCAGGCAGGCAGCGGCGAGGTTCTTTTAATCAGCCCATAATGCAGACTTGATAGTGCTTTAATTCGGCGCCTGCTGATACAGCAGAGAATGGTGTGCTACCATGGGACGGGCTTTGGACTGATCTGAGGGCTTCTGAACTCGGGTTGAGACATGGGACACGGCCGGTAACCGTTACAGAGTGGCGCGTGTTGAAGCGCTGTCAAGACAGCAAGAGATCGGGCGTTGAGACGGATAGAGGCGGGCGGTAACCGGTAGTTCTGAAAGTACGTCCAGCGGGCTCCAGCTCTTCTTCGTGACAGTGGGAACACGACGGGCAATCCGACGACGGTGTGCGTTGTTCTGCGTGGTTTGAGACGGACCGGCCCGCTTGCCAAGCTACTGCGCTTCTGTACTAAAGCTGGCTGCCTGGCTGCCGGATTCACTCGCTCACCGCGTTGCGCTGCCCAGCGTGGTAATGTTCCCAACCGCGCTGCCCGATCACCACCACCTGCACCGCTGTACGAACGATAGCCAGTCCATGGAGGTCTGTGAACAGAGTTACATTCTCCAGCAGCCGAGTGAGTGAGTAGACATGGTCACAAGTTGTAACTGTTCTGTAAAGTAGCCTGTTCGGTGGAATAGAGAGCTCGTCAGCATCGTTCTGCGTTTTTTGTGACTTCAATTATGTGATCCAATCCGTGCTACACGCCGTCGCTCCTGGTTCGGATGAATGCTGGGATTTACATTCCCTACGTTTCTAGGGGGAGATTAATTTTCATCCCACGATGTCACATCTTCTAAAAGTCCAATGATAGACAGACAGACTGTAGTTGTCAGGAAATGGCCCACAGGGCTAAACTGCATTCATCTTAATTAATCGTGCTAGAACTATGAGCTTGACTACTTTCTTGAAGAACAGAGATGTGCGCGGCGAGCCAAGTCGACTAAAAGCCCACAGATGTTTTCTCGCGTCGTGATCTTTGGTGAGTTTACTATGTTTAGTGTGGAAGCTGCATGACTGAATTTGATGTTACTTCTCTCCTGCTTCATGCCTCTTAGCTTCCGGGATAAATTTAGGCTAAGTGTGTGACAAACAGTATCCACACTGATCGATGCCACTCGTTCGTTACGGTGTCAGCAGTGGGCTGTTGTGTAAACATGATTCGGAATTAAGACACCGAGGAATGAGAGGCTGAGTGTGACCGATGGAATTTCAAACAAGCCGCCCTGCCGAGGACAGCCGACAAATGAACGCCGGAGGACAGAAATCTGTCCCGATGGGAAAATTCGCGTCCCTCGCTGACCGCCCTTTCGGCTAGTACGACTCTAGGTGATGAAAGCACGGTCAGTCACACGCTTTTGAGGAATCGACAAGAGGAATTGATGTGGCGACAACCCAGACTAAAGAGCACTACATGATTCACACAGTTCCATCGATAAATTACACAGTTCGTAATGTCATCAACAGACGCAAAATATGTCGATAGAGAACTTCAAATAGAGTAGACGTGTGATCTACTAAAACAATCCCTCACCGAGCTTCCATTCATGGTCCAATGGATTAAATTGAGTGGACTATACACAGTCCAACTCCAACATCAAAATGTCCTCTACCGAGTGCATCAGTGTGAAAACACGGGACAGTTCAAGAGAAAGTCGGAAGTAACTTTTTCAATGATTAAACGTTTGAAATAATCTAGTTTCCAAGACCTCAAGGATTACAGTGTAAAGAGAAAAAAATTAGATCAGGAAACGTATATACAGATACTACTCAGGACAGCGATGACCATCCCCATTAAGTAAGCCTGCTTGCGTCATACAAAAGCCCCTGTTGCTGCAAAGGTCAGTCCACTCTCCACCAACACAAGGTCTAATTCGAACCCGTTGGCTGCGCGTCTCTCCAGAGGAGTGCTGGTGCCTTGCACTCTGGCCAGTACTGCTCGTCCCATCGTGAAGTTGCATCACCGTTTGTAAAGACCACTCCATGTGGCCGCCGAGAAGTCAGAGTTCTCCATTACAACTGCCACAGACATCGCATGCCAAAGGGACCTGGATTCTATCCTCCTCCATACCCTGTGTAGTCTACATTGGTAACTAACTAAGCTGATCTGCGTAGGTTACCACGCATTGACGATCTCCAGAAGCAGAAGAGAGATGCTTCGAGATCTCACGGGCTGCCTAGGTGTTGAGCAGTATAGACAAACACAGCAAAGCAAGATGGCATCCCCTACAAGACACAAAGCATAACTGAAATATACTTCTTTTTTTTCTTACTATTTAAGGTTTATTTGAGAGTTTGCCGACTTTCAGTATTAGCACCAACACCCCGCGCAGAAGAGAGAGAAACCCGAACACTTCACAATAGTTCCTCTTTCCAGTGGGAGGGAAGGAACAAACAGGCTTCCCCCGAAAATAATAGGGAGGTCAACGGACATCCTTGAAATCTCAACGAAGCACCTAGCCATCCCTAGCACACCGGGTGATAGTCGAGCATCCTCTGGTGTAAGGCCGAACTGGTCCCGAAGCAGTCGAGCACCCGGGAGTGTAATACGATCGTCCCGACTGAGGCGGGCAAGGAACACGATTGGCAGTTAAGGCACCGTATCCGACGTAGTACCCTGAGGCGGCCAGCATTCTTCTAGTCACCTCTGAGTCCAGTTGATTCGACAACGAAGCAGTCCTCTGTGGGACGAAGGTCTCAGAACTCATGTCAAAAGAGGCTTGCGCTACCCCCATCAGTAGTAACACCGATAGAAGGACCAAAAACCAAACATTTGTTCTCTGCATTCCACAACGCCCCATCGCTCCAACTGCTCCTGCTGCTGCTCCTCCCTCGAGACCGACTAAAGCCACGCCGGTGCCCGCGAACAAGGCCTCGATTACCTTCCTCGCCCTTGCCTGCCAGGCCGGCTCACAAAGAGCTCCTCTCTCTCTCTCTCTCTCTCTCTCTCTCTCTCTCTCCCACAAACACACAGTCAATCTCTCCCTTCGCCGATCAAACACCACGCACACGAACACTAAATTCGAGCTGGAGGACGCCTTCAAGAAAACTGCCCTCCGCAAGCCCTGAAGAACGACGAAGAAGACGAATGACCGCCTTGCAAGAAGACAATGTATCGACGTGCTAACGACTCGCTCTCTGCTCTCACCTTGCTCGCTACTGAACACGGCTTCTCACTTCCTCCTCCGGCACCCGCACTACTACTTACGACCACGGCTGAAGCCCAAAAGAAATGCGGGAGGCAGATCCGGACGCACGGATCGCTGCAGCTGCGGACAAGGACTTGCTAGTACACATCCGATCCGCAACGCAGTGCGGCGAGTCTCCAGAAAACAAGAATCAGTTCGTGTGGAGGTAGTCGAGGGGCGGCCCGCAAAGCGAGGCACCCAGAGTTAGACGCGGACGGAGGACTCGATGCAGGACGGTGAAGAATACGGCTCCGTCTGCGGGAATCTTTGCCGAGGACTGACCCCGACGCGGTGAGGAAACGAGTGAGCGATTTGCACAATAAGGTGAACCACGTGAACCACGACGACAGACTCAACCGCAACGAGCTATTGAGCGCCGGTGTTCTGCCGACGAGATCGCAGTGGCCCGAGGCCACGAGGGGACTGCGGTACTGGGAGCATACGACAGTCCCATCACGCGGACGGGACTGCGGTACTACTGTAACGTAGTAAGAGAAAAGAGAACTGCGTCGGAAAGATGTCCGTTGTGCGGTTCCCGAAATGCCCCGATGGTGCAGTAAAGTTGCCGATGGCAATAACTCACGGGCCGTGGCGAACGCGTCTTTAGCTCGCCCGCACTGACAGAGGCCATGGGCAGATGACGTCGGGCAGATTCAGTAAATTCAGCCGACGTTGAGTGGATTAGGTCAAGGGTTCTCGGTTAACGGAAAGGGCACACGACGTCGAAAGCGAAGGGTAACGACCGCGGGCACGGAGCAGGAGACGGAGCGCAAGGAGGCGCTGTCCATGGTCGTGGGACCGACCATGCACCGGCTGGATGATCCTTTCGGCATTCCCGATCATTATTACCTCGGCGAGGACTCGAAGACCGGCGCCCCTGCTGTCCTCGACTCGTCCCAACGCGCAAATGCAACTGCACTCTGTATTTGTCACGCCCCGGCCCTACAGCCTGGAACCGACGGGTGTATTAAATATATGCATGTTTGTTCTCAACCTTGCCCTAATCCATTCCACGCCCACGACAGTTGCCATACTAACCCCGCCCGGCGTCATCTGCTCATAGTTTCTCTCGACTGTGCGACCGTATCTTCTGCACAATTTATATTCCGCGGAACGAGATGTCCCGGACTCATGTACTTCGATAACGACAGTTCTTCAGGGCGCCTTCGTTTCGTCGTCGCGATCTGTTTTCTCGTGGCCTCTTGTGGGGGAAGATGGCCGCATCTGGAGAAGGATGAAGATGGAACCGCAAGAAGATGCGAACGGATGCCTGCGTTGAGATGTCTCCCACTATGCAACACCGCGACAGCCGTCAGCTTTGCTTTCCGACGACGCTCGCCAATAAACGCCATGTGGTGGAGTTGGCTGGACTATAGCTGGCATGCTTTCGCTTTACCTTTCCCTGCCTTTTCTTCGACGCTCAACTCCAGGCCGCTGTGCATGAGCCAATGACAGCTCGCGATCCTTTGCCTCATTTGCTTGCTTTCTAATACCACTTTGTTCCCGCTCCGTTGGACCTCGAGTCCATCCAACATGGTCGAATCTCCTCACCGCATTCGGTCGGCGGTTTTCCGCTTTGTAACGTTTTGGGCTCCGTTCGTTTGTCCGTCTATCTGTCAGTCTGGCTATACGAGCAGGTAATATTCTAAGAATCTTGTCGTGCTCTTCGTTCCCTGGGCATCGTGTCATCTTCCCACCTTCGGGTGGGAGTTATTGCGAGGAGTTTCAAGCAGCCAGTGGAGAGATTGTTTGAGAGTCCTCGAATCGGCAAAAGGCGTCTTGACTTCAAGCACTCCTCAGCGAATGGAATGTACCCGAATCCATGTTCTTTACATGAGTCAGGAGCGTGAGCACGTGCTCCCTGGGGGAACAACTTCTTCGTGAATTGTTGGCGTTTTAGCAGATTTCAGGGTTGCGTTATTTTTGGACTCGAGCTCAAAGTTAGCAAAGTTGGAGTGAAGAAGTGACGATTACTAAGTGCGTGTACGGGAATGAGGGGACTGATCTCCATGACGTATGCGTTATCTACTCTTTCTGATAATCAGAAGGAGGAGCCAGTAACATAGAATAATGAGGGGAACTCCATCAAGAACTGTAGAAAAAACAAACGAAATCATCAAACTCAAGTTGTGCAGGTAAGAAACCATCAGGATGGGGAATCGGGTAGGCCCAGAATATGAGAATGTGAAATTTAAATTGTTGTTTCTTGTTTTTACTAGCAGTCTAGATAACACAACCTATACACTATTCAAACATCCCGAGAATCATCATCTTTTCTTTCCTTCATGGTAAGCTCCATTCTTTTATCTGAAACAATCGATACATGTCATCTGAACCATGCTGCCTAGTGGTTAGTCGCTCACAAAGGTATCTAATCTATAACTCCAACATGTGCTATGGTAGTGAATATATACATTATAGAGATGATGCCCCAAATTAGCTCAGAGTTTCTTTCATTTATCTTTCTTCTTCAGTCAAGAGTTATTTGGTGCGGGGAAAGATTGAAGGAAGCAGTTGTGTTATAAGATGACACTCATGCTTATGACCTTGATGAGATTGTTTAAATTATTTTTTTCCCGATGTTCAACTATTTATAAAAAATCTTTACTGCAATTGTCTTGCATATCATGAACAAATCTCCAAAAGATATAACATATGTCACTTTATAAGTACAATATGATTGAAAATCACATATGATTGAAAATCACATGCATCATTAAAAAATTAAATTTGTATTATAAAATTTTAATGCTTCAAAATCTGTTCGTATTTTTAATTAAAAAAATTACCAAAAAATTTAATTATATTTTGAAGTATAGTTTGATATATATGAAGGTAAAATTTATTTTATTTTTTTAGATTTAATCTATATCATTAAATTTTTTTGAAAGAAATAAAGAAACGTGTTTTTGGTTTAATATCTATAATAGAATACTGGAATAAATACTATGAAAAATATTTTAAACAGACAAATAAAAAAAATAAAAACAAACATTTCATATTTTAAGAATTTTTCGTTATTTTGAAAAAATGATTGAATTTTCAAAAAAATATTTTTATGTTTGTCAATTATCATAAAATATATTTTTACATGACAGAGATTTATTCTATTTTTTTTATTTTTCAAAATATATATCAAATCTAATTGAGAAATTATTATTTTTTGAATGATTGATCTATCAATGAATTCCAATTTGAAATTTATAAAAGATTTGCCTTTAATAATTTAGGTTTTATACTTCATCTAAAATTGAAGTTTTCAATTCTAAAATTAATACATATGTAAGAAATTAATCAAGGTTGTGAATTCTCTTAGTTATTTCAACTAAAATAATCTAAATTAGTTTTTATATTTTATATACAAATGTTGACTCAAGGCATTAAGAAAAAAAATAGAGACTTTTCAAAGAAATATAATTTTGTTATCATGGACATAATGTGAATGCTTGTGTTTGTGTTATCACATGAAATTGATATTAATGCATTATTAGAAAAAAATATTATTTTTAAATATATATTATATCATATGCATTTCATATTATATTGGACTATATAAAAAATCTTTTTTATGAGTAAAATTAAAATGAAATCATATCTACCTAAATCAAATTGAACACTGTAAAATATGTTATTTATTTTGATTATTGTTTCTAAAAACTAAACTTGGATAAAACATGAGGTAAATAATTTTAATTTATGAATTCAAACATTAACGAATCATATCAACTTTGCTATAATTATTTGAGTAAAATCTTGATAAAAACTAGAAAAAAAAATTTATGAGAGTTCAAAGAGATAAAAATAAAGGTATATTTAAAACTTTTGAAATTTTTAGACAATGATCAGTATTTTCCAAAAAATTAGTCAGGTTCTTGAACCAACATACTATAATGCACATTACTGAGTAGTAAAGTAAATTTAACAAATTTCTTTTTATATAGAATAACACATAATGCTAATTTATCTACTTGTAGCAAATCACAAGCAAATCAATAAACATATTAAAATACACAGCTTGTTATCATTTGCTCATGATACAATCATTAATTGATGATGATTTTTGTATAATGAAGAATTTTTTGTAATGGAGAGTACAACCAATTATTTATTTCAAAATAAATATGTAAATAATAATGAATTTTATCAAACTAAATGAGAAATAAATTAAACATGGATGAATTTTTTTTTCATACATATAAGCTGAATCAGATATGAAATAATAAAAAATATTGATCGTAATATTCATAATAATAAATCTTACCACGCTGATTGTGATTGATAATTTTATTAGACTAATAAAGTCAAAAGTGAAAATTTTCAGTGTCGAACAAAACATTAAGTATCAAATTATTTATCTATAAAATCCAATTGATCTAAAATAAAAATATTATTGAGTCATACCTAAATATTAATTATAAAAAAATAGATGAATTTTTAAATTATTTTTTATGAGTAATTTTTTATCATGTTTTAAAATTTGTTAAATAGATATCATTGGTGAAAATAAATTTTTTTTAAGAAAAATTTTGTTACAAAAATCACATTTATGCTTTGTAGAAATACTAATGACTTTCCCGTATCAATATTGCAATTAAAAAATTTAATATTGATGTTCAACATCTACACATAGTCTAGACGAAAGTTTGTACAAAGCATAATGTATTTTTCAACAAAAATCAATTTCGTCTATGCTAAGAACCTTACCATAGTCCCATCGCCAACTGTGGGGTGGGCTTTCCTAATAGTAAATGGTAGATGGTTCGTAGCTTTAGCTTAGAGTCGTCGTTGAAGGTTCATTGTCGCCCTTGACTCCACTAAAACAATAAAAGAATTCTTTTATCTTGTTCCAGAAATTTTTCATCTTGTTTACAACCTGCATAGAAAAAAAACCAAGTGAAAAAAAATATTAGATTACATCAACAGAGTGAGACAAAACAAGCAAAAACCACATGTTTTTGAATTCTTGGATATAAATAATTTATGACAAAAATAGAATTTATTTGATTCTTAATTTGATTTATATCAATTATTCTTTTAATATAATTTTATTATGATAAAAGTTTAATCTTATACATTGAAGAAATGAATATTTTTTAACTTATTATTTAGATTTCAAATATATAATATAATTTTTTTATATATACACTTCATAGATTACAACATTGAATATGAAGCATGAATTATAATTAATGCGAATAAGAAAAAACTTTGAAAGTTATTATTTTATTTAATTAATTAAAAAAGTTTCATACACTTTAGTTTGAAAACATTGAAAAATATTTCAAGATTAAAAATTCTATTAAAATACTTCATATTTGTAAATATTTAATCATTTGAGTCAATTTTTTTTAAAATAGTATTATTATTATTTTTACTGGAATATTTAATTAAAAAAAATTTAAATCAAAATCAAAATTAAAAAAATGTGTTATAAAAATATATGATACAACTATTTTAAAATTTAACAAGCATATAAATTTATACATATTATGATCATAGAATTTTTTGTGAAAGAGACAATAACTAGATTTTGAAGTGCAATGTTTAATATTTGTGTAAATGGAAACTAAATGCTGGCGACAAACTTATTATTATCACAAGATCTATAACAACAATAGTTAATGCAAGAATGTAAATTAAAAAAACTTGTAAACATGTTAATTAATTTTTTTATGGTTATGGATGTTATTGTAATATCATAAAAAGTTCATATTTTGATTGTTCAAATTTTTTTAATCATTCAATATATCAAAGCACATTAAGATTGATATTTTGAAAAAATTTTGTCATAGTTTTTATTAGCGTAGCTTCAATTGAGGTTTAAATTATTGTTTTTAAATAAATTAGTTCAACATTTATCTAAAAAATGCATATATAGAATAGATTGTAGGAATTGTATTGATAAATAGTGTATTAAGCATGATTATAATGAATATGTAACCACAATATTATAATATATATCATGTTAAAAGTATTATTTTGCATTTGAATTTTTGAAGATAAATTTAAGATTCTAATTTCAAGACAAATTTAAGCATTTTTTTCTAGATTTTTTTATTTTAAAATATAAATGATTATATCATATTTGAATTTTTGTTTGTATCAAGTTTTTATGAATGATTGAAAAAAAATTTACCCTGATTTTTTACACAAATCAACGTACTTGATTAGTATTATATTTTATAAAAAATTAAGATATCTTAGATTTTGATTTTTTTATTTTTTATGAAAAATGTGACCGATATGATATATAAATTAATAGAAAATTGGCAACATCCTTAAATAACTAAATTTGCATTAAGAATTTATTTTTGAATTTTTTGATTTTTGATCAAAAAATAATTAAAAAATATTATGATATGAAAAAAAATATTTTATATTAATAAAAAATATTTAAAAATATTTATTATTATTTAATCTTAAAATAAAGAATCAAACCTATGTCACATACTGTATAATTTAATACATCAATATGAAAAAAATCTCTAATTTATATCAATCACAACTTTTGAAGTGAATATCTTATATTTGAAATGATGGAAATTTTGACACATGTATTTTAAAATCATCTTAAAATTATTATCAAAATAATAAGACAATTTATCGCTATAAATTTGAAACTACACATATACTTTTGTGTTAGAATTTCTGAATGCTAGATTGCCAAGCAAGAGGTTTGCGATCTAGCATTCAGAAACGTTTAATTTATAAGTATATATTATATAAACATAAATAAATAAATAAATAACTGTATAGCAATACAGCAATATAAAAATTTTATGCGATGGAAAATCCAACATACCTCACACTATTTTTTTATGATTTTCAAATAATTGGTACTATATAATAATTATAAATATTTTTTAAAATATTTCAATTTCAATTAAAATATTTTCAATTTTTTTAAATGTTTGTATATATAATTTTTTTTCAAAACACAATTCACATAACTCCTGTAAGTTCTGTAATAAAAAAATTAAATGAAATAATTTGTATTTATTTTCAATTTTCTTGAAAAATACAATTAAATCGATGAAAATAAATTTAATTACATAAAATATGATTTCTTGTTAGTGATAAAAATTTCTCTTTAAAAAAATATGTAAATATTCAAGTACACAATCACATAGGAATAATTTCAATTTTTTCACAGAGAAATTTTTTACAATAATTATGATATATACACTTCCATAAATAAATTTTAATTAATTAAATTTCTATTACATATCATCTCTGATGATCCCATTAAATTTTAAAGAAATAAGTTAAAGAATAAATATATAAAACATATGATTGAATATAATATTACAATTTTCAGAAAAGTAAAAATATTTTCAAATAACACAAGAGAATTCCCAATCATTTGATTGCTGCAAACTGTGAAATATTTTTTGGTATTTATAACATGATATTTCAGTCTTCTTGAAATCCATTTGAAACTGGCTTTCAAAAGTTTGTACAAATTTGAATTTTTTGTTTTATATTTTTTAAATTTTAAAAATATGTGTATATATTTTATAAGGTCTAGTTGAATTATCATTTGTAGCAAAGTATGTTATAATTTGATTGATAATGTACATTTTTTAGCAATTTTAGTTAAATTTTGGATTAAAACATTATTTTAATAATAATTTCTTAAGATTTTATCATACAAACATCTGAAATATTCAATGGTTAGGTTAAAAAATCTTAATTGGGTTGTAAATCATTTAGATTTTTGAAAACAAATTAAAATTAAAATTAAAAGAAAGAATCAAATATGAAGTGTGATGATTTTATGAAAGCATGAGTTTTCACAAAGTGAGTTTCAAACACATATAAAGATGAAGAAGTTGAAAAACAGCAATTTTTGTATTATTACTGTAGTATTGTAATGCATCATATCTTTATTTTCAGACATTAGAGATACAATAATTTATTATAAAAAAATATTACTCAGGTTGAAAAAAATTTGAAAATAGTAATAGGATATAAATTCTACATTTATTTTATATTTTAATAAGAAAATAATATTATTTTAAAATAATTTAAAAAATTCATATCAATACATTCAATTTTATGTTTGAGAATATTAACATGAAAATATCCATGATGTTTCAACTGCTTTGACAACACATTATAATACACTTTATTTTCCAATGTTTAATTGATGATCCTGATTAAATTTTGTGTTAATTTTGAGTAATAATTATTGAAATAAACTCATATATCTGATTATGTGCATTAAATCTGAGATTATTTGAGTTATAAACAAGATAGTCCAAAAATTTAATCAGAGAGATCTCAGATATCTCAGATATAAATCTCAGATACAACTCGTCGTTGGGAAAGTAGTTATCTCAGAGCATTGAATAGATATATCATTCCGACTATATCTAAGCAAGATATAGTTGTGATTTCAACATAATATAAATTTTGTAGCAAATTAAGTGATGAAGAGCAAGATGAACCAAATCAAGAAAAAAATTTAAATTCTAAATTCCCCATAGCTGAGGAAGTTTTCAGATAAATCAAATACTGATATTTTAAGATATCATCTATACACTAATGGTCTAAAAATTCTTTGAAGACACGATCATCAACTGTCGTAGTTTTAAACAGAGTCCAATGCTGTTGCTCAGAAAGTGACATAGACGGGAAACAAATAAAAGAAATCATGCTGAAAGTCGCTTTATCTAATTCGTGTATCAGGTTGTGACCAGTAGTATTACAGCGTCTATGGTTCCAATGAATTATTTGAGTCGACAGAAATAGAAAAATTTGGCGTTGGCGACAATGGAAGCAAAAAGCTTCGCTTGTCGCAGAGACTAGGTCCGTGAAGACTAGCGTAGGATGCCGTACTCCCGGCAGGGCATCTACGTACAAACTCTGCCGCTGAGGTCGAGCACGAAAGGTGACGTGCGTCATGGAGCCGCGGCGCTCTGTGAGTCTGTGCGATCGCGGCCTCGAATTATATATTATATTCTCTACACAGAAATCATGATCGGGCCGAAAGGGAGAGTGGGCATCAGAGAAGTGGTTAGCAGATGACACGGCTTCGGAAGTTGATTCGATGCCAACACTCATGACGATCCCGTTTTAGACACGTCGTTTCTGATTACTCCATGCTCCTCGCTTTTCGACTCTCGACAGACGCAAGACGCAGATCGTTCTGCACCCTCTGCATCGGTGTCATAAACCTTATCGCGAGATTCACGGTGCGGGCAACCCACTGCAGCTCAGATGATGCGAAGGAATGTGCACTGCAGTAGAGTGCAGTGCAGGCTGTTGATGATTTTAGATGAGGAGAATCGGGTTGGTTACCTTTGCTCCATGAAACCCAGATGCACCAGCGCCTCAGCGTCCCAGGGTACCAGCCAGGGTCAGTGCATCGAGCTCTTGTGCAAGACGAGCCTAATGTGTTGGAGATGCAGGGGCCCCTAGGACTAGAGACATACGGATCGCATATGTGCTTTGAAGGCTTGCCATCCGTCATGACGTACAGGCCCTGACAGCCACAATTTTGCGCTCCAAACTCGCAACATCAGTGAAGTACCTTCTGCTATATGTTTCTACAATGATAGGTAGAAGATTGAATCATATGAATGAGTTGTCCCAAGTTCAAAAATATTGGGGCTGGTTCAAAGTGGGGAAGAGGATGTGAGGCTGATCAAACATCGAGAGTCTCAGTGGAGGGTGCACTAGCTAGTAGGTTAGGGTAAAGTAGATTGGGTAGGAATCCTCGATCCTAAAGGGTGTTGTAGTAATGAATGCAGACATGTATGTTTGGTTTAAGAGCTCAATCCTGCTACTCTACATCTCCAAGCTCTGAGATAACTACTTTCCACCAACGACGAGTTTGTTTCTATCTGCAAAAACTAGTATACTTGCAGACTGACTACCTAAAATTGCTTCCTGTTTGAATGATCGACGCTTGAATCCAACGCTAAGATGCATGCATCTCTGTCACCTCACCAAACCTCCGACTCTTTCAAAACGCGGAAGGATACGGTAATGAATTCGAACAAAGGACGTAGGCCCTTTTCTGGAATGCGTTAGCGGCATGGCCTCCTAGGTTGTGGTGACAAACGCCGATCCAAGTCCCATCATTGCAGATATGCATGCATTACATATCGGTGATTCAAACTGCAACCCAAATGAGAGGTTCAAATGAAAATAATTGAAAGGATGGGAATACCCGGATGCAATCTACATCTGCTTTAGGGTTCGAGGAGCGATGAGCATATTGACGTATGCCCATCACCATCATCACAACGGATTGTTTCTTACCTGCTGCACCCATGAAAGTGTGCAGTATCATATCGTGGAAAGATGGCTCATTAGTGAGGAAACAATGCAACTTTCGTACCCGTTAGAGGGTATGGGTTATGATGTTGTACCTGCACGAAGATAAATAGCATTTTTCACAGGTTTTGGTGGGTACTTGTATAGGGTAAGATGTGTATTTTATTGGTGACATTGGTCGTTATTGTTTTAGTGCATAAGAAATGCATTTTGGTGTAGCTTCGGGACATTACTAGTGAGGCTGGATGTTTTGGTGGACATTGTTTATAGACACGACTGGGTGTATGGCTTCTACGTTTACCCATAGAAGCAGTCTTGTCCCACCAATCCATGAAAATAAGAGTGTAAGCTCCGTGAAGGGTTCATTAAACGAATAATACATGATCTTGTAGAGTGAAGGCAAACACTTAAGTGAAGTTGCACGGAATTTCCTAACTGCCAATATTCGGAGCCGTCTCTTAGACAGGGTATATTGAAAACAGTCAGTTCATCACTTCGATCATCTCAGTACGAGTTCGGTCCACATGTGTTCGGCAGGTAAAAGCAACATTCATTGAGTGAAATTCCAGATAGTAGACGGTGCCCCATACAATCAGGTGCACGTATATAACTTGGGCTTGTGATGGTTGCAAGTGCGAGCATTACATATTCATCATGATCTTCACCTGAGGTCAGGAGCGCTGTGAACAATAATTCGCTTCTGAACAAGCTGAGGCACAAATACGTGCCAAAAAAACAGTCTGAAACATCTTGGGAATGGTTGTCAAAGTCGACCAAAAAGGTCGAAGGCAGACAGACCATCATGAGAAGGCACAGAAGAGAGCATCGGTAGTCAGGTAGGCTGAGAAGAACGTATCCTCCTATATAGACAACAGGATACATCATAGTATCATAAACGTACATTAGTACAATGCTCAGGAGCAGCTTTATGATAAGTGAGTATCATGCGCTCCGGAACATACAGTGGCTACTTGCTCTTGCACTTTCTGACCAGAGCTCCTTTCGACAGAGCTCCCAAGAGCTTATTTTCTCAGAGAAGACGTCCTGCGTACCCAGTAAATGCTACAAGCTTGTACATATCCACTGACATGGAAAGAATCTCTGTGTGTCCCTACAAAGGCAGGAGGGTTGACATAATATACTTCCTACTGGTGTCGAAGACGATGAATGAGGTGGACACACTTTCAGCACTCTGAGCATCTGATCTCCCTGTTGCCCTAATGACAACTTGGACTAGACCAGCCCAGCCCAGCCCACTCCACAAACCTCACACAAATTGCAGGGCCCTGTGTCGTTTATGTTTCTAAATGAGTCCCGCTGGTGCTCGCGACTCAGACGGCCGAGCCAGCGTGATGTGAGAAGTCTATACGTACAATCTCTCTGCCACCACTCAATCCGAAGAGGTGCAGTAGGACCTGCGTGGAAGAATCTGAGCTGCGCCAAATGGTGACAGAGCTCTTCCTACTTTGCTGCAGACCTGTTTACCCGCAGATCACACGCTTGTTTACAAGAAAGAGATAGATACTCTCTGCGAGGCACGAAGAAATGAAACGAAATGAAATAAAATAAAATCCCCCACCCCCTCCCTCCCTCACAGCAGGTCCCTTAAAACGGACTCAATCCACAACTGTCGGTCAGTTTCGGCCACGCTGGGCTCAAGTATTTGCCGCCGAAAATTTGTTGAGCGATGTATCTGTTGGCTGCCTCGGTGTTGTGCACACCGTCCCAGACTGCGTATTGCGAAGGGTCGCTGCAGGTCACAGCCGTGAGAGTGACGCCGTTGACAGTCCCGGAGCTTCCACAGTTGACCTGCGTGTTGTAGTTGTACGCTGACGGGACTCCACAGCAGGCCCTGGTGATGAATTGAAACCCTGTCATGCCCACCATAACCAAAGGGGTCAGATTCTCGACAGCCCATGGTCGACTCACGACGAACGTCACATCCAGCAGCTATGTAGCCCGTCGTGACCTGTTCTGTGTCGTGGGTGTGGTGCACTCATTCCAAATTCTGGAGAAAAAATTTAACAGCACTAGTGTTGTAAAATCCGAAGGGAGTTTCGATAGCAGGACACAAAGGCGTCATGCAGGCCTTCATGAATCCTTCTGCCTCGAGAAGAGAGACCGATGCGGCCTCATGTGGACCTCCAGACATCGAAGACTAAGAAGACCGACATGTCCGTAGGTAGACAAATCTGGAGGAGCTAGGGTCCGACTGCTCGGCGAAGAAGGCAGCGGACGGCTCAAAACCTCTGTTTCTCAGCTCTGAAAGCCACACAAATCAGAACATGCGCAGTAAGATGAATGCTCGAGGCCTCACCATTGGCTGTGGCGTTGGCGAAGAGGTCGGTTTTCAGATCGTAGGTGCTCAGCAGAACGATGGTCGATCCGGTCAATTCATTCTGCAAGTCGGTCAGTGCAGTCTTCAGGAGCCCGTTGAAGTAAATGGCGTTGTCGTTGTAATCTCTGAGGCAGCCATTGGCGTCCAAATCGGCTTCGGTATGCGAAATGAGCGTCAAGGTGTAAGGAAGGCAGCCTTGAGGCTCAATGTCCCAGATCAGAAAGTTCCTTCCGGCGTATCTGTAAATGCCCTGAAGTATCACGGTCACAAACACTGTCATCAGCTCGGATCCCGGAGCACAAATCAATCTGCAGGACGAAATGAATGGACAGGTCAATGTGCTGCTCGATTCGGCGAGACGAGGCAATCCACTCCACTCACCCGAATGGCATCAGTGATTCCGTTGATGACGAGAGGAAGGTACGAACGAATCTGCAGAGGGCTCTGTCCCTTGGTGTAGCCAAAGGTGAAATCGTTCCCTCCCAGAGCAATCGTGTACAGGCCGTCTGTGAAGTAACTCACTTGTGGAAGTCTAGCATTGCCTGCACATGTCACGACATCAGTGTGAGCAACGGGAGGAAGTGGCTCAGACAAGCCGCTGAGATTGTCACAGGCCGTCACAATCCCACACTGCTGCGACTCAGATCATTCACCATTCACCCAAAGCATTGCACATTCACACAAGTCGACCATCTCTGAGAAGATCACCGAAGGGGAGAGCTCCGCCTTTGCTTCGAGCTTTTCATTTGCAAGAGTATCATGATCGGGCGCTCACCTGGATCGTTGGCTAGAGTGTTGACCACATTGCTGTAGAACTGCTGCCACTGCTTCACTTGCACTCCGAGGTTGAAGGGGCTGAGGTATGTTACACTGCGGACCGTCGCTCCGGCTGTAGCAAAATTGGCTCCGTGGGCGAAGTTGGATGTTACAGACTGCAGGTACGGATCGATGAAGGGGAGACCCAATGCCGTAGCTGCGTGACATGGCGCACAGCAAAGGGCAACACTGAGTCAGATTCGGAGAGAGCGCACAAGCGAAGTGATGCAGGAGATCGGAGATTCACGTGCTTGTCTCACGTGAGGCACCGCGAGCGACTTGCGGGAGCTGAAAATCCGGGGAACGCTGTGCCAATTTTTGCGGATTAGGACTCTTGCCTCGCGACCAGACCGACACAGGACGCAATGTGCATCTGTCGGGGATCCCATGGCCTTCGGAATGTCTCACGCGCAGCCATCTCACGTCAACGGCGAGAGAATTTCGGGCAATCGTTCCGACGAGGAGCAGGGTCGCATTCCGCTCTCTCCTGCGGCCGAATGGCTCGAGGGATCGCAGTGGCGCCACGAGAGTGGCCCGACGGCGTGGTCTAATCTCGCCCTCGGGACTGCGCTGTACACGAGGGTTCGAATTGGTTGGATTCGTGAGCGGTGAGCGTTCCTTGGGAGAATAAATCAAAACAAACGAAAACGAAATGGCTGGCGATGGTTTTCGAGCTCGGTTCGAGGGGAGGAATTGACTGACGAGGCGCGCGTGCCGTCATACACTCGGGAAATTCACAATGCTACGGAGACCAGGAAGCCGAGATTATGCAAGGTAGAGGTAGAGGAAGGATATATGGGCGCAAGAGAGCAAGGTAGAGAGCCGGGGCTGGCCGGAGAGGGCAGAGAGGAAGAGATTCACACACCGACGAAGTCAATAAGCAGTCGCCCGTCGCTGTATCTGACGCCGGCTTTGCCGAAGTAAGTCTCGCCGTAAGGCAGAGACTCGGCGGGTGTCGACGAGGGGAACGACGCGTGAATGCCCCCCGTGTCTGAGGTGGAGTCTCCGAAGTTGAAAAGCGCCGGAATGCACGACGATTGCACCATCGGGGTGACCATCAACAGGCACACAATCGCCCCAGCAATCGCCATTCTCCTGTCCATCTTCTCCAACCCACCCACCCCAGCCGCGCTCTCAGTGGACTGGAGTCCGCTCTCGCTCTCTCACACTATCGAATCCTCCGCTACTGATGCCTCCTCCTGCTACTTATGGAGACTCTCTCCCCCTCTCTCTCTCTTTCACTCACACGCTCATTCACGAGCTGGGCTTGTGTTCGGAGAGGCTGGCCACAAGATGGGGCTTGTCGTTGTAAGGCAGGCGAGCGAGCGAGCGAGCGAGCTGGCTGGATTACAGGCAGAGGCTGCGGCCGCAGACACGAAATCTCTCCGATCGACCAGAGAGGGGTGACTGCACTCTGCAGCTACGGTCGAGCGTCAGGGGTAGCTTTGTAGTGTAGCATGGCACGAGGGGGGGCGGAACGAAGCGAAGGACGCCTGGTCCACGTGGCGGAGATAAACGACAGGAACACGCTAATTTCAGATTCTCGTCTGCGCCTCAGTGGCCTCGGGGCAGCCGTCCGATCGAACAGCGGGGTTATATCGATCGGCCCGTGCCGCGTTCCGGCCGACGACCCCCTTTGACGTCGGGTCGAAGTCAAACTCTCTCTCGCCCGCGGTCCCGGACTCCCGGTGGAAGACGGAGGCCGGACTAGACGACCCCAGGCCGGGAGGCAAGGTTTGGAAAGCGACCCCCAGGGCCGACGTCAGCCGTGGTTCTAGCCTCGGCATCCTGGATGCCTTTTGCCCGCTTTGGCTCGGCTCCTGCATGGGCTCTTTCCCCCTTTTCAGCCCCCGGGCCCCACCCCGGCCCCTCTCCGAGCTCCCCCATCCCCCGCTGCCCTCCAGTGGTGCCCGCCCGCTGCCCCAACATTTATTGCTCGGACCCTCGAAGGCCTGGGGTGACGGAAAGCCCCCGCCACGTGGCTGGCCCCTTGTGAGAGCGACGGACGGGGACACGGACGGGTCTTCCCCTGAGTCTTCGAAACCGACTGCTGATTGCGAATCGCTACCGACTGTCCGTTTGGGGTCCTCTTTGGCGCTCCCCTCGCGGCCGAAGCTTGAGCTCGACGCTTGCAGGACTCCTGCCCCCCGCGCCGCTAACGTCTTCGGCGCTATCTACGTGGCCAGGAATGGGTATGGTGGTCCTGCGAGGCGAGCCCTGGGCGAGAATCGTAGACTTGCTTTCGTGACGAGACATTCTCTTCGCTATTCCGGTTCGAGGTTTTCTCGGAATTTGACTCCGGTTCCATGCATGGCAGCGTCGTGGAATCGGGCGGGGTGATGTCATGTCCGCTCGACGATTGAGCTTGATAGTCTCGATAAGTTGCCTTTTTCTCTGTTGGTTCTCATGACCTTGGTTGGCTTTTGCTTGTTTGCTCGCCGACATCATTCTTCTGCTTTGCGCACTTGCAACAAGGTACTGGCTGGCCTTTGCGCTAGCGGCACTTTTCGGTTGCCGTTTACGGGAGTTCGATCCTCTCGAACTTGGCGTGTTAGGTCTAACTCGTCTATGATGAGGGAGATGGATTTTCTTTCATGAGACTGACTCCTCGGGGTGTCTTTATGGTCAAAGGGAGGGTGGAGAAAGGGGTGCTGGAAACCTCTTGCACCCTCCCTTTGACAACATAGATTTTTACCCTTTTCTGGAAAGACCATTCTTCCTCTTCTTTTGTCACCACAACATTCTGTGTATCGGCGGCAAGGCTTCATCCGTGACCACTCACATCTGTGCGTTCCCACATGCATGCGTGCCCTTCCAGCTTTTGTACCTTGGTGCCTCCATGCATATGAGAGATTTCAGCACCATACCTCAGACGCCCGAGTGTTAACAATCCCGGGTAGTTATGAGGATGCCCTCTTCTGAATTGATTGAAGGCCAGTTCAAAGAGCATTTACGTTTCCTTTTCCTAGAGATGCGTGTTTTTCTTTTCACGTTCTCTCACCTCCTCGTAACACTTCAGCTGTAGTGTGCGCACGGTCTTCTATCTTATTGTGCCTCCTTTTGAGGCGACTCTGGATTGCTTTCCACTTTTCTTCTGCGGAGACAGATTGTGTTACATCGACATATGCAGTACAAAAATGCATGTTCCTGTTGACGTAGATATACGAACCTATGGATGATACATTGCTTGTTCGGAAAGTTTGAGGCACTTTGTAGTAAAATTCAAACTTCAGATCTAGGAAACATCTGGTTCACTTCAACCGCTTGTTTGTGGGTATTCTTTTACCCCTTAGTGGTTGGATAAATCTGAAATGTACATTATCATTGACCTTCGCGATTTTTGGGCCAGTCGGTTTTTGAAGTAAACTGATAGTGTCATTTTCACATCTGCCTTGGGTGGAGTAGGCTCAAGTGCAAGTAGGTGGTCAAGGAGCGTGGACTCATGTCAGATATTAATACGTAGACAATGCATCTGATAAGGATAGCTGAGAATTATTGTCTTCGAATTCAGTACGTAGGTGGCTGTGGAGACCAAATCTGGCACACACTATGTCGCGTCTCCGCTTCATGAATCAGAAAAAGTTGTTGGAAACGGGCCTCAGGTTTACAATGACCCTCTCGTGTTGTCTGCAACAAGATATCTAAAAACATGGGCTCCGGAAAATACTCTATCATGTGTATAACCTGCAGAGGTTTCATTGATGATTCGACACTTCAACTTCAAGTTGACATTATCCAAAGTGACATCGAAAGAAAAGTTGCGGGAAAAGCCGAGGAAGAAAGAAGGCGAGATAACCAGAAAGAAGGATGTACATCTCAACTTTGTGAATGAATGTGAATGTCAGGTAAAGCATGGGTATCTGATATCCTGGATGCAATTGGCACACCACATCTGCTTATTGGGCCAAGAAGATAAGAATCTCATGTGACAGTGCTTTAGTTTGATAGTCCAACATTGTGTGCTTCCAGTCTCGCCTATCCAATAGACCGCAGAACTGAATCTGTGAAAGAATGGCCTTCTTCCTTTGTCATATCGAGCAAACGACCTCGAATCATTGAACACCACACGAGGATTAGCCGTCCAACCGAGCGAGCGGCGTTACAGCGAAGAGGTGTGCATGCATGCATGTAGGTGAGCGTTCCGCCATAGGCCCAATGTTGGGGCCGCCACGTCCGAACAAAGTGTTCTACTCAGCGTCATGATGGACGTGAAGAAATTGATTTTTGGACGGTTTCCATAATGCTCGTCTCGCCACATCTTGGCATTTTGAAGTCAAGCTCTCGAGGCTTTGAAGCCCCTCGAGCCTAGTCTGGTAAATACAATGCTCTTGTAGGCAGGCTGGTGTGACGCTGCTGTGGCTTTCCATGCCCCGACTCTGATTGGCTCTACCAGCCCGAGCTCGAGACTATGCGCCCATTCTTCATCAAGGAAGAAACTGTAGAAGGGTGCATATTAACTCGAATAATTGCCCTCGAGGTCACGACGTCGGTGCTGGTGAAAAAATGTTAGGGCACGACGACGGCGTTCTTGTGGACAGATTAGAACATACCGACGAAGGCCCCTCCAGGCGGCCCTGCCCGGCCCGCCCGGCCTGCCACTGGGACTGACTGACGAGGACTGACTGACCGGGCCCGAAAAATACCTGACCTGGCAGCATCCGCACCCAGCCTACACCTGCCCCGGCAGGTGTAGGTTTGGGCGTAGCCTCGGTGGTAGACTGGGGAAACACACCTGGCGAGGCGCCACAGGTAAACAACTGGTAAAAGGTAAAAAGCGGAGCCTCAACAGGAGGGCAATGTTTATTTATATCTCTTCCCGTTGATCTGGGTTCTCCCTTGGCTACATTCCCGGAGTAATGCTCGGGCACGAACCGGACAACAATCGGCCGGAATTCTTTTTGCTCGGGACTTCAGTTAAGACGAGTTCAGTGGTTGTGGCACGCGATCGATCGCCGTTGTCGTCTTCGAAGTCAAAGGTGGCGTCAACTGTTTTTTGCTGAAATATAGGCCGATGCTTCTAACGCTTTCATGATGGAGCCAAGTCGACTTTTGGCGGATGCGTGCATGAATTATGAAGGTAATCATGCTTTGACTGTCATGTATCCAGCAGCATGTTCGTTGAGACCCGGAAGTGGAAGACGGCACGAGATGCAGTGGAGAAAAGAGGTTAATGTGCGGAGCGATAGATAATTCCACTAGAGTTAGACAATGCCACGGGGTTTAAGTTTCACTGACATTTGTTGCTCGCATCCTCTACCCGTGTACCTGCAACGGATTTAGCAGGTAAGCAAAGGCCTTTCGGAGAAGGTATTCAGCTCCACATTTGATGGTCGTCAGTCGAGGCTTTTGGTTGTTTTCTTTCCACTTTTCACTTCGAAAAATGCGCAGTATGAGCGAACAGATTCCAAAAGAGAAAGGGATACTGAAATGTATGACATGTTAAAAGCTTACACATTTCCTTTCATGTGGCCCAGAAGCAAGAGGAACTCCTCCATAATTTATATCTCTGCATTCATGATGTATTTCTCAAAGGTATATCAAAGTGAAAGTAGTTGTTCAAATCAACAGTGATCTATGATCTATGATCTAGACATATGATCTATACAAAACTTACGTAAAATTCTCTCAATCCAAGGGATTGTCATTAGTTTATAGTGAGTGAAGAGAATGTACACCTAGTCCAATCATACTCAACAATAATATGACTTTTTTGCCTCATGCATGCTGCAGAAGCATTTTGTGGAGCATCAATAACTTCAGAAACTTGACAGGTTCCGTGTGAAAACGTTTCCAATATTAAATAATTTCCTTTTTCGATGTTTCGCTTGAGGATAATGCGATTACACCGTGGACTCTTCCTGCTGCATTACTGGTGAAAAGACGTCCAAAACTCAGTAACATCTTCTACGCTTGTTCCTTCTCCAACTTTGTTCCTATCACCAGGGACAAATGCAGCGAGAGACAGGTTGACCAAAAGAGTACTCGATGGCCTGATTCCGTGAGTAACAAACCAAGTAATGCAGGAGACAAAGTACGAAGGTTTAAAGTAATGGAAAAAGGACGCAGTAGGGAAAAGCAAAGTGAAGCAGATGACCTTGAACGCAATTTCGCATTGCCTTTCCTCTTTCCTTCAGTGCATAGCCTTATGGATCTCTGCTCTTTCTGTCATCCGGGCGACGCTAATTTCGGACGCCGGGGAAAGTCGGGAGAACTAAGCAGACCGGTGGAAAATATTGCCCTACCCGCCGTGCTGTACTACAAAGGCCGGCGAGCGGTCGCCGGAGGTATTGACGCGGGAGACCAGGAAAGGAGCGCTGGCGATGCGATGGGAGGAGGAGCGGCGGGGTTATGATGAGGCCTCCGGGAGGCGCGTCTCGTCTCGTCGACACGACGTCGAGCCGATTCGTTGCAGAGTGGGGAGGAAGAACATCCCTTCTGCCGCCATGGAGCGATCGTCCAGAAGGGACTGTCGCTCGCGGGTACACGGCCGTCTTCGATGGCGCGCTCAGTGAGCCTGCGACATATTCTCCTGCCCATCATGATGGCAGTGGATGAGAATTCGACTGCTATTCTATTCTATTGCATTCGAACGCTCTTCCCCGGAGCGCTTTCGCGGCAGATTTAAGGAACCGGCTTTTCGTGTTCTACCGCAATTCCTGACAGTTTGCGTTCGTCGAGCTCGCATCGACTAGCTCGATGGTCGATCCCGGCAGAGGTTGCGGAGAGGAATGGCATCGTACGGGCTCGTGGCACTGGCTATGCCCTCCGCTTCGTACTCCATGTCCAAGGAGCGGAGCCTGACTGAATCTGCAGGGACGCCGACTGGCGGACTCGTCGAGCTCCTCGACTGCGTTCGCTGACGGTGTTCCTGGCTTCTGATCAAACAATCATCTGCGTAAACTCCATACACTCCTTAAAATCCTAAAGCCTGGTTCAGGCAGAAGCTGTGCCGTCCGCGACGTCGTCACCACCATCTCCTCTCCTGGAGTAAATGTGAAACCAGCTCTCAGAGCCTCTCGATGTTACAGCTGATGCTTCAATCATGTGTCAAATTCCATCTGTACAAACGCTTGCAGGCCTCAGCGAAGCGGTACGCAGAGCAGCCACAGGCTAAATTCAGTCTGAGTACCGTTCGGTGGGCCAAAAAAAGGAGAACATATCTTCGATTAGAGTATGAAAAAGCCGTCTCTCCGTGGGCCCGGCCAGAAGTTGTAGGGTGTCTGTGCGGAAGATAACGCTGAGGGCCAGTAGAAAATGAAACCCGTAGTGGAATCCAACCCTCGGGGGCATGGTGGTGAAATCGAGACTTCAGAACTGGTGCGTATACTAGTGGCCTCAGATTGCTCTCCTTATTCTGCGCATTGTCGGGCATCTTTCCATCTGTTATTCTCCACTCCTGCTGCTAATTCTCTGCAGCAGGCATACCCGCTAACCCCGTTCATGCCTGCACCTTTGGGTACAGTCACAGCCGTGGTTGCTTTGAGCTTAAGGCCAGAAAAAAGCGAAAGGACCGGAGTAATGACCACGTGCATGAAATTGAATGCCCCGACCGCCTCCCGCACGGTCTCCGTTCCCATTCGAGTATCATCATAACAAGGTAATAATCCTTCACTACGACAATTCTAATCTTTGTTTTATCCACGCGTCCGCTGAGAGATCTTCTGGCATGACCTCTCCTCTCTCTTGCCCCAGTGCGCATTTCGTGCATCGTTCACTACAACATGCACAGGTCTTGGGGAACCTGACCTGTGCAACCCAGCATCATTCCCAAGAGCCCATATAAGTAAGAAAGTTACCCAGCGTCGTTTGGGTAAGGCCCAGACTTTCACATTTTGCGCCTTGTGGGAGGTCTATTTAATTCAACAACTAAAAGCCGCAAGTGAAATTGTGCGGCTGTTAGGCGGTCAGGAATCACTCCCCAGCACGAGATGGTCAAACAACAAAGAATAAAGACGGAGAAAGATCTTGACCACTTGCAATTCTTCATGTCCCTTGCTTCCCTAACTTAGTCTAGCAGGACTTAGTCCAGTATATCGTATTCGCGAAAATAGAGCACACTAACGATGGCCATAGAACAAAGGTTCGAGTGAGGGGAAATTGTCACGGAGCCTGCCCACCGGAAACGGCTTATACGGCCGTGTGTACGTTCGTGTAATGCATTTTAAGAAGGCGCTTTTTGTCTTTAGGGAATGCGCCATCTGCGAGCTTGTCACTCGTTCCTGTCGACATTATAGCCTTCACTCCAAGAAGAAGTCCGATGTGGATATTTCCCAGGGTGCAAAGCTATACCCGACCGCGAACTTCCATACTGATGAGTCATCAGTGATGACCCTTCGATGCAGTTTTGCCAGTAACTTCGTCGGAGACCTTGAACTGTGTTAGTCAAGATTCAGGATAGATGACATCGAGCAAAGTCGCCTGGAATCAGACGATTGCAGCTGTGAACTACTCAAGCCTAAAATGTACTAACTCGATCGAATGATACTTAGACGGCAATCGAAAGCTAGCCACTACTCGGATGAATTCGAGTCCCTCTTGCCCTCACCCAGATGAGGGCTGTACCATGCACAGTCCACCAGGGCTTTCGTACTTTTCAGTACAGTTCTGGAGAGTCTTCATGAGCGCTCAAGAGCCGGGTCAACTCAAAACCTATCAATGAAAACTGAAGGAGGTTAACAATATCGCAAAAGGTACAAATGGCCTCTCCTCACGATCGAAAAGTTGTAATGAAGGAGCTGAGTACAGCTGGTTCGGAAGCAACGAGAACATTAGGGCAAGCAGAACAGTCCGAGCAATAAAATCGAAACTCGATCTGAGATAGGCTCTTAATTATGATCGACTCTTTACAGATTCTGTGCAGAAGAAAAGAGGCAATTGCACTCTGGCATGGCCAACTTGATGCTAACTCGACAGACGAGATTTCCGAATCATGTGTGGAAGATGCCCTATCGACGTCCATGGCAGTCGTTCTTGTATAAACTCATCTTGAGGGTTTATGACGATATTCTTCCGTATAGTCCTGGCGCGGCAAGTTGGTCTTCTTTTATTGGAGAATGGGATCGTGTCACAACAGCCCGGCATTGACAATTTAATCCCCGAGACCGGTTTGCATACACGGACTGCTAAGCCTCGGCTCAGTTCGATGCACTACAGGATTCCTGTTCCGCATCACTAAGCGAGAGTTCAATTTTCTCTGTTCTGGCCGCAGGGTCGTTGGATGTCTCGGGTAAACGCCCTGTTCGACTGTATACCAGTTCAAGTAAAAACAGTAGAAAAGAGAAATGCCTACCTTTTGAAGGCCATCTCCAGCAAGAGGTAGTGCTCTCACAACAGTCTTAACAATCTTGTGCTAGAATCTTAAGAATGCTGCGTTAAGCAGGTGTTGGAATTTGGGGTGAAACTCTAATGATGGGATCCTGATGTCTTCCACTAGGTTTGTTCCGTAATGTTTCGCTTTCCCACCCACTTCCACTTCGTTCTGGTTGACAGATGTGGTCGAGAGCGCTCTCAACATCTCCATCCGCGGTCTGAACCATGACTACAACAATTCTGTGCAGACTTACCAGAACAGGTACAAAAAATTGGGCTTCCAGAACAGTACCGAGAAAAACGCCAATGATCACTCGGGAAGGTCCGGCGCCTCGATGCACCGAGCTCGTGCAGCCATACATACTACGAAGCTGAAAAGATAGAGCTTGAGACTATACCCAGAGGCCCCAGTACAGTACAAGTTACGCGGATTGCTATGTCACGTGTCGCCTTCAGTTGTCTTCTGTAGACGGTCTCCTTTCTCCCTATGGCTACTGTATGCAGACAGCGATGATGTCTACAGGCCAGATTCAGTTGCGGTCGACTCATGATAATATCAAACTAGCAAGACTTTGACAGTCACGTGCTTTCCCATTTGTCTTCCTTTTAGTAAGGACTTGCATTTTCTGTGCAATAGATTAGTATCCGAATCTGCTGACCTTATCTGTCCGTTCTGTCAATGAGCCATGGGATTGAGTTTCCCGTTATCTCTGTGTTTTGAGCACCTTCAGGTGATGATTCGACCCAGCTATGATGAGTTCTAGAGACTTTCGAACCCATTCAGGCACAAATGTGGACAGCTTTGAAGTTGAAACCCTGTAGGCACTAGGAGTTTGAAACTGAACTAGAACTTTGTGTGAGTTTACACTTTCGCCCACACAACTCAATCATACACTTTCAGAAAAGGAAGAATCTCTCGGTAAAAGCTCATACTCATGCTACCTCCATGCACTAAGTGAGAAGAGACAGACACATGAGCATAGTGTGCTACTTTTTGCTCAGATTTGGATCATCTACCTCTACTGCAGTTCCATTTAAGTAAGTTATATTTCAGCTCTGCATCGGACATGATTATATCAAATGATTTTTAATATTCGGGTGTGTGCAACTTTCCCTGGCTCTCAAGACTTTGATGTTTCCAAAGTGCGGTCACATCATGTAAGGTGCAAACCAAATTGATCACTAGTGCTCGTTATGGGGCTCAACTTCGAGAAAAAGTTAAGGCTTTGTAGATATCTTTTGAAGTGGCACAACACTATCATAGGCTTGATTTTCTTCTAAACTAGAGTTGTAGCCAAGGATTGAGGGAGTCCAAAAACACTATAGCTATATTCATTTCGTAGTCTAGCAGACCCACTTTCTCCACACCCTAACGTTTTTGGACATGGAATATTATGATTGAACGTTGGTGTATGCGATATGGTTGTACCATTCCGTTGGGAATTTACAATTTCGTTCCGCTTTTTCGGAGGGGTCCGTCATCTGCGCAACAAACCAGTTAGAAAGTTAGATCTTCTAGATCGGGGATTTTGCAATTAGGTCGTGCATTTTTTTCTCAAAAGTAGAATCCAAGTGTGCATGATTGTCAAAAAGGTGTTTTACAGCACTCGAGAAAATACATGCAAAAGACTTGGTAAAAATCAAGATGATGATTCAGCCTGCAGAATGGCTGGTGATGGTCTTACTTGCAGTCAACCGGAATCATTCAACCATCCTTTCGAAATTGGAACGAAATGATAGGTGCGACTACATACACCAATCGAACCATGTGCAATGCATTTTATAGCTCATGAAATCGGTAAAGATCATAGAAGTGTAATCTACAAGGTAGGCTGAGCTGAATAGATCCTTTAAAATATATTACACAAAGATACATGAGTTCATATTCGTCTTTGTGAATGAGTATCTGACTTTTGCGTCTTCGAAACAGATTTTCGTTCTCGCTAGTAGCAGTTAATCGTAATAGGAGCAAGATCTCGGGGTAATTCTTTTGTTGTTTTTGGTTTCTTGTGCATTTTCTTCATTGTATGGGTATTATTGGGTATACTTTTTTTGACATTCACTTGGCCCCCTTTTCAGGTTTCGTTGCTTGTGCAAGACAGTAGGGTACGAACAACAGCCATGATAGCTGCTAACGATCCAACGAGGAGTATGTACATGAAACCGAAAGGAGATCGGCAGCAAGAAGCCAAAGGAGTTTAGACAAGGCGCAGAAGAAGATTGAGCCTTTTCCTTATTCTGTCCTTTGATCTCGCTTCGCAAAGTGACACTCCCTCATGCCTCATGCGGCATGAGGCAGGCATGGGGCATGAGTCATGCCTCATGCCTGGAGTAAAAGAATTCACTCTCCCGTGGCCCTCAAATGTTTTCTGCGGTTCCAGTGGTCGCACGAGCTTCCAAAAGAAGTTCTCTTCTTTTGAAAGAAAGAGGATGCAGCCTTGAGTTACAACGCGTGAGTGCTTTTTGAAACTCAGAGGACGAAGAAGAGGAAAGAGTCGGACAAGGGTATTACGAGGGAAGTACATCTCTCTATCTCGGTTTGTTCATCGTATCAATACCTAACAAAAGATTCCAGGGTACGAAAGCTGTGGGCCAGAAGTGGGAAATGGAAACGAGAACATATTCCATCGTGGTTTCGATGCGGTTTCTGTTCAAGGAAAAGTTTGAGTCTGATGTAGAGGCTAAAGCATCACATTCAGAAGACTTTGCCATAGCTCTGGCTTTCGACCTTCTCATTTTCATTATCTTAAATTGAAGCTTTAAGCAAGATTGAGTGTCGCTTGTGCATTGGAATGGATGTGCTTGTACCTCTTCTTTATCATCGTTTTGCCCCCATATAACTCCAAGTGAACCCATTGGCGACGACCCGGGTTGTCACAAAACATTTCTGTCGATCATGAATTAATTAATATTTTCAGCCAATGACGATGACGGAATTTTTTTTCGCACTTTCGAGGGGAGCGGGCGGGAGCCAGTCACTTTTGTAGTGGCGCAAGATGGACCAAGATGATGTGAGTAAAGGCGTAAACACGGAGGAGTCAGCGGATCATATCAATGTGTGTCAACTCGCAATACTACGATGACCAACCCTAAGGACAACTCGATGAAAAGGGCGATTGAGATTCTCGGAGAAAACGCACTCTTGGAGATCCAATCGAACTAGGCTACAATGATACGAATTACGGAGGAGAGGAATGGGAGCAAGGAGAAGTCATTGTATTGGGATTGATGCAACAAGGATGATCTCACAATGCCATTCGAGCAATACTTCTTGTTGGTGGCAGCCGAATATCTCGATAGAGAAAGGTGCTAAAGGAGGCAATCGATACGTTGCACACTCGCCGACTGCCACAGGTTCCAGTACACGCTCTTACTGCAGATGATTTCAATGCATTCGTTGAAGATTGCCAGACGTGGGAGCTCGAAGATGACTTTCCTTGTTCTCATCTACGACGAATTTCCTTGTTCTCATCGACGACCGCGACAGTATATCCTTGAACAGAAGATGATATGGACGAAGCCCTGGACAAAATATTTGATAAAGATGAATTCAATGAATCACCGAGTAATTAGCTTTTTCCGATGGACTCAATATGTCAAGTTGGAGTTTCCTAGAGTGCGATTGTCAAGGACTGCAAAAGATGACTATGATGCGTGCATTCGCCTTGATATTCAACTTAGTCGGGACGATATCACGAATGAAGAGAGCGATCATTATAACATGGACAAAACGATGCAGCTCTCAGCAACGATTGATCAGCGACGGACAATGTCGACGTTTGTCAAAGAGTATGCTGCCGCTCATGCACCCAAGCAAATCATACCGAATATGATTATTTGCGATACCTGTGATGAACCACATGTAGTTAAAAATCTGAATGAACATGACGATGCGCCAATTATTCAGATTCAGATTGAAGATTTTGGTGGATCAGTTGCGCTCCCTCACTATCATCACAGTCGCCCTTCTACTGACTACTTCAATTCCAGTCTGATGCTGCAGAACTTGACATTGCCGACATCACCAGGAACGTCAATCATGTGTTTTTCTATGATGAGCGCGGCCAGGGCAAAGGTGCTGACGCGCTATGCAGACTTTGTCCGCTTCACCACCTTCGACTTCGTCTGATGCGGCGGGAACGTGGCTAGACAGTGCCACAGATTTTGTTGTTGACTCTTGATAACTGTGTTGGTCAAAACAAATCCAAGGTCGTGTTCATGTTCTATGCTGTGCTATCGCTGCTGTTCTACGACAAGGTCGTACTTCATTTTTCATTCCAGATCATTCACATAATCTGGCTGATCGCGTTATTGCTTGGTGTCAGAACAAGATGCGCGGCATGAATCTATATAGCCCTGGCGCTATTGTCTCCGAGCTGAACAACATCAAATCTGTGAAAGTTGATTTTTTGATCATGACGGCGACCGATGATCAAAAAATCAATCGCAAAAAAGGGCCAAAACGGCCCTTTTTTTGCGAATGTACGCCTTTACTCTCGAAGTACTTCAAATCGATGCCGACGAACTACACGGGTAACTACTACTTTGAAATTGAAAAGGGCGTAGTAAACATGCGCCATCTCGCAACAATGTCTGATGATGAAGCTGTTTAGTTCCCAATGATTATCCTTCCAATGCTAATGCTATTCGTGGTGCGATTATTTCTGATTTTTTTGGATCGGACATCAAGTCTATTGATGACGTTGAAACGATTGACAACATACGACTTCCCCAACCTGCGCCGACGACACTGCCGAGTAAGAAGCTGTTATCATTGTCTCATAAGTACTTTTCAATTCCGCCTGATTTTATCTCGTACTATCATGTTCTTCCTGCTGATATTCACGCGGCGGAGGTGTAGCAGCTGCTGATGCCCTTGAAACTCGGTTGAAGGCCACATCGAAGAAGAAACTGGCGGTTGGAGTCGAGAAGCCGAAAACACGCGGCGTCGTACGCCCCAAGGAGCAAGCGAAGATGCCTGGAGGCCAGACCACACTCTTCTCTTACTTCGCAAAATAATTTTTTTTAAAAAAATCGAGATTTTTGGCGCCACGACAAACGTCATGCAATGCAGTCTAGTGAAGCAAGTTTTAGGTCAATCTGAATATTATTGACAGAGTTATTGATGTTTTGCTAGACCCTGGTGTTTTTTGAGACCCGGGATGTCGCCAATAGGTTCAAGTGTTGGAACCTGGCCGTTGTGCCTGTATTACAAAGCAGCTCCAGCTACATATCTCACGTAGCTGCTGGACCTGACAATGGTTCAACAATATTGCGGGATCATGAGAACGTTCATCACTCAGAAGGGTTATACGCTGGGGAATCACAAGACTTGGTAAATTGTATCAGGGCGTTCCAATTGGCAGTTGCTCAGTTTCATTGCTTCTTGTCAAGAGCAATGTCACGTGCTGAAGATGATCATAATCCTGTTTGCCATACCCTTTGAGTAGACAACCATAGCGACATCGATGCATCCTTTATTATCTTAATCTTACAATCCAGACGCCACGAAACAGTTTATACTAATTAAGTTTCATTTAACATAAATTCGTTAAATTGCAATGTCGAATAAAGAATTGTAAAATTATAAACCGTTAGTAGATGTGTGAATATATAATGCATGGGAGATGAGAAAGATATAAATACTTTGTTGTTAATTAAAACACTTACATGATTGAAGTAGAAGAGACATCAGACATTCACGACTGATGACATATTTAAATTGATGTCTTGATGCTAAGTCCATTTAAAATCAACATTGTCTTCATAGTTATTTAACTTCAGAAGCATTAGTATGTCACTTTCAAATTAATCTTACATAAAAAGCAATGCAACTTTTTCGTATGTCCAACTATTTTTTGAACTATTTTAAGAGTTTTGATTTGGATCGTAACATTTGAGTTGTTTTGAAGTTAAGAATTTCAATTCACAAATAGTTGTGAATTTTCAACACCTAAATACATAATCATCTTTAGTTTTATAACAAAAGCAAGATTAATGAGTTTGCTTGTGATAAATTTTGAGGATGAATTTGTTCAAAAATTCAGAGCTAAAATCATCAATAAATTTTATGCAGAACCCAGAACTTATATTTGCCACAGAAGTTGATGTAACGCACTAGAAAATACAGTAAGATGATTACTGTCTACGGAGGGCAATACAAGCAAGTCGATTTTTTTGCGAGACATAAAACCATTTACGTACAACCCTGCTAGTTTTAAGTATGGTACTGTACTTTCCTATGGTCACTCTCCTTATGTCTCTATGACAGAAATTGACAAATCTGTAGTTCTACAAACTGATCAACGATGAAAGGAGGAGTCTCATGGTCTTGTGTTCTTATACAAACCCAAGTTCTGGAAAGCAACACCGTATATAGCAATGATAGTAGCCCTGGTACGGTTACATCCTAAAAAATACGGTCTCAGACTATACGGTCTACTGTAAGCAAAGTTGCTGAGAATGTCCACTCGTGTAATTTTCTGCCTCGGATTCCAACTATTGTTTCTATTCTGGAAGGCCCTGATAGAACAGAAAACTACAATCGGGAGAGTGATTACATCTCACAGGAGTATTAACCATAAAATAACATGTGGTATGTCAAACCATGGACATCCACCCATCTTACCATCCTCGTGGCTATATGATATAGTTTTCCTTCATTAATTCAGACTTCTACTTGCTTATCGTTCCGGAAGATCTAAGACTCGACGTATTAACCTTTCCTGATGCACGATGTACCATTCTGTCGAGGTCCGGGTACGAACCAGGACTGCTTTATTAGCGCCACTTAGTACCTCAGGACCTCCAGATCAAAGCATGGATCTGTGAGAGAGTTCAGGTGTTGACTGGAGAGTCGACGTACTGTACATCATTGAAACCACGTACGATTCAGATGTCAATGTACACGAGCGGGACATGCACATGAGTCCATGCTTTGGCAGCTGTGCATGCAAAAGCGCCCATGCCCCTGCCGGCACACAAACGGCCGTCGTGTTCCATTCTCCGTCCTGAAAACCGGGCCCTATTTACGGCCTCCCCCTCCCCGCAGAACTCACTCACGTAGGCTTCGCTGCCGGCCACTGAAATAGAACCGGGACATTCTAGTTCGCCGTACCAACCATTCGGCCCCCATGGCAGATCTGAGTGACTTACGGGAACAGTCGAGCTTAATAACACGCTCAGAAATTTCTATTTGCAACCACTGAATTCTGATTACAAAAGATTCCAATCTACAATTTCCGCCTTTACGGAAGCAATCGAGTTTAATAGCACGCTCAGACATTTCTTTTTGCGACCATTGAATGCTGATTACAAAAGATACTAGTCTACAATTTCCGCAAGTAAGAGAACATGGGAAATGTTAATTTTGCTCCGTATTCTACCATATGCTTTGCCAAACGTTGGCATCAATTGTAGATATTCGAATGACTCTATGAAGTGTTGGAGTGTATGAAATCAAACGACTCTTTGTTACTCTAGAATTGTTTGAATATCTCGATGTATATTTTATTTGTAGTGTATTTAAGTCTGTGTTTCCATAGACTTTAGAACAACAGCAATACAATCATAGGCGGCAATAGGTGCTCGTTCGGATATTTTTCTTGTGGTAGTTTGTATTTCTTATGGTCATAGAATCAATTTTGCCTCATGGTAGAATAAGCAGATAGCAGACTTATTTTTGGTTACGTCTGAATTCACCAAGCCACACTCTGGACTCTTTACAAACAAGAAATTTGGTGTTAAAATAGAGCATTTGCCGTAGTGGATGACTGATTGACGATTGATTTGCCGTGGCTAGTCACCACCTCGTGCTTCGGTTCGGGGGATCCACCGGAATGATCTACGACGCGCACGCCGTCGAGTTCGTTCATGGAGTAGATTGCACAGAGATCCACATCCATGATTTACTTTGAGGGCCATACACAGTCCGTCTGGCACAGTGGAGACATGATTGGGATGCCGGAACCGATTACAATTGCTCTGGGATCACTTCAGCTCGACGAGTTTTAGATCAAGGGGCGTCCCAAAAAATGGATAGGCCAGTCGGCATCTCTCTCTCAGTGTGTTTATTTTATCGACGAAGGTATTCGAGAAATATTCAGCTGGCTGGTGGCAACGCAGCCTCAGCGCAGCACAGCACAACCGAAAGCATGCTCGGCTGAATCCAGCGTGCCGATCGGTCGTACGAAAACGAAAACGGGAATGCCAATGCCAATGCCGATGGGGATGCCGTGACTCGTAGGCCGCAGGCAGAGATACAGATAGATATCTGACGCACCACTGGCTAGCGCTACAAGAGGGAAGTGAGCGTGCCCTGTTGCGGGCGGGCGGGCTGGCGAGGGTGGAGTTCACTGCTCGTCCTGCTCGCTGCCGAGCGGCATGCACGAGAATCTCCCACATTATGGCTGCTCATAATGGTTGCCCCTTTTCCCCTTCTTCTTTCCAGTACACTCTCCGAAGATCGGCGTTGCCCCGGGCCTCCCTCCACTCGCCCCGCCCAATTCACTCCTAGCCTAGCTCGGAGCTGTCGAGTCCCCTCGAGCAGCCGGCGTTTGTTCCGAGCGCGCCTTCAAAGCAGATCGACGGCGTCCTTTACCGTCGGACCTTATCCTCAAGATTTCTACAATTCTGAGAATTCTACAATCCCCACGAACATGAAGACATGAATGTGAACATGGACGGAAAACCCGTCCAAACCATCCTCCGAATTTGTTATAGAAGCGAGAAGCGAGCACTGGCTCATTCGTTCTGTGGGGAGGCCCCTGCGATCGATCTCGCAGAGTGACGAGCACGCATGGGAGGTGACAATGGGAGACCTGTCGTGGGATGGTAAGCGGAAGACGACATGCAGCGAGAAAGGCAGTATTTTTCCAGGCTCTACATGATTGAGAATATCTCTCGTTGGGTAAAGCGGGATCGACTGGATGGGGAATGTGGAGCTCAATGACGACCGGACGTGTAGTGCCATGCAGAGCACATTCTGAGCTCGATGTTGGTTGCGGCTGGTGGCTGAAATGCGGTCCTGTGGTTGAAGATAAGTGGTGAGCTGTGAGCATCTGGAGCATCTTGAGCTTCTGGATGACTACCATGGCACATTCATTTCAGGCGGCTGGCTCTAGCTCTGGCTCTGGCTGCAGGGAAGGCAAATTTCTCCCGAGCAAAAGAACTTTCTCCTCTGGAATTTCTCTCCTCTTCTTCCTTTCTTCCTTTCTTCCTTTCTCCCTTTCGATGCTTTTGAGCTGCGAAAACCGCAAGTAGGTACGGAGAATTTGTTGGGTCCACAAGAGGAAAATGCTGGTCCCGGCCCCACGGAGAGAACCTTCCGGCTCCTTGGCATCGTCGATCGACTGCGGGTCCCGCCTCGCTCACAACTGTTTGCAAGCTTTCATCTTTATCGACGCAATCAGAGTGCCGAGGAGGGCTTTATGCCTTGTCGATTTTTTCGCAGGTGGGGCCTGAAAGCTTGTGCCAGTTGTTGCCACTGCACAGATGATGCTCGCGAACCATTGTGGGACAACGTCGGCACCGGACGTCGTAGCCTTGTCGCTCCCCCCTGAATATGTACAGGAGACTTGTCAGAGCCAAGCTCCTGCTCTCCTTTTGCGCTTGGCTTCGGGGGTTTCAGAGAGACGCCATTTTGTCCTGCTTTGTTGTGCTGCTCAGAGCCTGGTGAAGGTACTTGCCTGCAGTTCATTATCAATTTCCGTCTTGTTCCTCTGGATATCAGTCCACATAACTTTTTCGAGGTCAAGCTTGAACTCCAAAACCACCCACTCCTGTTCGAATTGCTGCAGTTTTCTGAATGGAACTCATGCACAGCCTTCTGCCGTCACTCACTTACCGCAGAGTGTGATGGTAAGTGACTTGGTTGGAGATCTCGAGAAGATTTTTCTACTGAGGGGCTATCTAATAATCTACAAGAATCATGTCGAAGAATTCAGATTCATCTCATGCCTGGAGCCGTGCAATGAGGCCCATCTTTGCTACTAATTCTAACCATCGTCTTTGGTTTTCACAGAGTCATTCTTGTAGGAGATTTTGATGGAGGGCTTGTCTCTGTACGTGCTAACCTAAGTCTAGGGATGTGGTCGGGTTTAGACCTGCTCTACTGGCATGAGGTATTCAACAAAACTCATGATATCTTGGATACATCGTGTCCAGGTTTGAACCCATAGTACTTCTCTTCTTCTAATTCCATTGATTCATCTCAAAATCCTCGTCGCTTTACTGTCAACGACAGGTGTCCAAACAGTCGATGATCCTTCTGAAGTCTACAATATTGATTCTACTTCGTTAAAATCTTAGCACCATTCTAATTTTCGGAGTTTGTTCATATATAAGAAGACTGCAGCCTCAATAAATCTTTCATGGAAAAGTGGGGGTCTCAGCTTCCTCCGTACCGTGTCCCATCTCTGTACATGCGTCATAGGGACGACCTTTCACATCGCTACTCCGGTAAATATGTTTCAAGTGCCCAGCTGTCAGTAATGCTTATCATCAGCTTGCTACCTGCAGGTACGTGAGTGTGGGAGTAACAAATATACAGGAAGGGAGTTAAAGCTCTATTGTGTATATTGGTACTGAAACCGTACAGGTCAGTAGAAAGTGGAGTACGACAATCAGGAAATTATCAAACTTCAGATAGAAGTCATTACTCATGATCTTTCACCGACCTTGTTCGCCGGTCTCGTGGACCGATCGGAGTGCAGAATGCATCGATCGAGTTTGAGATGATTTCTGTAGTCAGAGAGATATGGATAACACCTTCCAGATCTCTCTCCTCTGTATGTTTGAAGGGACGGGAAACCATCGATAATCCAGTAAGTTAATACTTACTGAAGAGGCTCTGTTTATTTATCCACTGGCCTTTCCTAATAATAGTCATCCACCTACACCGATCAGAAGCAAATGGATTTCAGAAAGGCCGATTTCCAACAGGTCCAGGAGGACTCCATTGTGGACTGGACCCCTTACAGTCTTAAGGCGAATCAAACGAACCGTGGCGACAGAGTCTAGCGAGGAGTTCTTAGCATCATTGGAACAAGACATCCAGGCATCCTTCGTTGATATGGTTATGGGGTCTTTTGCACCTAAATCAATTTGTCACGATTGCACCACGGCTGTGCGTTCTCTTCCAAAGAACTGAGATGCACACAGTCACATCAAGTGACTGCACAGCTGATGCCCACTCGGTTATGTGGAGCAGATAAATTTGAAGCACTGGGTAGTTAGGAAGTGCAAATGCATACCTGTGCTGCCGATGCATGTTCTGAATTGACTCTTGTTCTTGCTCCACTGACTCTTGAAATTCTCCTGAAGAGGCTGAGGATACAAAGTAATATAACGAGACAAGTATTTCGTACGTTCAGATGTATCAGACTGCTTCTCAGGTTTCTGTTAGGACAACTTTGTCGCCGTGTATGTCATTCAAGTAGATGAAGACATAAGGCATACTTCTTCATCAATCGGTGAAACTGAACTTACGATGGAACTCCCATTACAGAGATCTTCGACTTTCAGGGTCAGAAAGATCACATCAGAGTTGACGACAGACAGAACTGTAGTCCACCTCTTCTGAAATTGTGCTTATGAACGTCCAAGGAAAGGTTAAAAGCTCGATCAGTCAGAGTAGGTCCGGCGTCCTCCATGCATGTGTCAGAAACCAGAGGTCAAGAGTGAACATTTTGAGGGGTTTCGAAGGCAAATTTATGTCCCTAGAACGAAGTCTAGATCGAAGTTCGAGTAAAGATCAGGTCTTACGCCGTCATCTGTGTCCTCAACATTTAAATTTCCAACTTGTTCTACGACTTCAGAACCCGCGGTTGTCGGTCCGAGACTGAAGCAGCGCTTGTAAGATGATTGTCAATATGATGACCCTTTCACGTGGCGGATTGGAGAAAGATGGGAATGTAGTCTTCCGAACTAAAATTAGAGATCCGTCGAGAGGTTTACAGCTCTGCGCTCATGCCTCTGATCCGATGGAATTGATCCTTTCTTTCAGATATCAGAAGGTACAAGTAATCCGAGATTTTTTTCTCTGCACGCAATTACTGCTCCCTTCTGTGTCCTGCTGTGATCCAGTTTCTCGCCTCCTTCAATTAACTCGCTGCAGCTTTCACGAGTAATTGGGTGATGTCGACCGCTCATGAGATTTCGACAATGACGAAGCGGAGAAAGGACAAACCTTGAACTCAACGATTCAGGTGAAATGCTCTGCAGTAGTTAAAACTCTGCCAGAATGCTGAAGAAGCATCAGGAGCATTGGAAGGGCGTCTTGTTTCGGAGCTCAGTGGTGACACTGATATGTCCAATTATCCTCAGAGCATGTGGATCTCATGCTCCAGATTTGTGTTCTTGCTTGCTTCTTGGGAACTAGCCACAACTGTCACGAAGTTGCTCAGATAGCCCTGAGCAGGAAAACAAGATCGAACTCAAATGGATCCGGAAGCAGCAAGCCGCAAGCAGCAGAGTCTTTGGAGAAGTTCAGAAGATGTCTGCTACATGGCGCGAGATTCGTAACAAGGCTGCTGCTTCAGGAGAAGGTATGAGAAGGTATGATGACGTGCATGAGAGGGTACTGTCTGTCAGTCGGGGAGATCGTCGTTTGTCTCTCCTGGGTGCAGCAAAATGCAAGGAACCGAGTTGTCATGCATACAAATGTCGGAGAAAAACAGCCCATGATGTTGCAAAGATCCAGCAGATTCGTACTCTCAGATCCTTTGCAACCAGTCTACCAAGAGAGTGACAAAGTAGCAGCAGAGGTGTTCGGAAGCTTAGTCGTCAGGACAGGTAGCTGCTCTGTCCATCTGTCTGACAGTCTGTTCTCTTCATGTAATCCGTCTCGCCACAGTGGAGATCCTCTGACACAACTACATGGATTTCAGTTTCGAACAGATGCTAATTATTGTAGAGCTGCGTTGACAATATGTCGGGACTGCGCAACTGGACGCACTTCCCTCCCGTCACTCATTGCAGTCCTGAGTGTACTCTGTACACACTGTCCAGACGTTTATCCAACAACATTTGCTCGCCCTGAGCTGCGGCTGTGATCTCCCGAGCTGAGCGAAAGGTGTAAGAAATTATGTGCATTTCCAGCATCCAGTGCCTATTTTGTTTGAAAGTTGTGAGTTCGGGGAGTACTCGTCTCTGGGAAATGTGGATGTATCTCCTGGGCATGCACTTGTCTCTCTCTAGTGCCTCCTGCCATGACAATAAAGCATCTCTGCTTCTAATTTCGGAACTGCGCTTCACTGTACTGCACGGATGGGGCATCATGCACGGCCAAATCCTCCTTATCATCACCCGAAAGCTTGACGCGATGCCACCGAAAGACGACCGTAAGCATCGATCGTATATGCTCTCTCTCTCGTCTTCAGAGTCCATTGGATTCCATCCAAAATCAGTCACGTTTGTGAAGTCTATGTACACGAGACCCACAAATGGCTCGGGACAAGGATCTAGGGAATCAAACATTAAGGGTTTGCGCTTCTCTTTGCCGGTTGCCGTGGGAGTGGGTGTACCAGCTCCTCGACCATATGCGCAGACTCGACACGAGACCTCCGAAGGTCGTGCAAAAACACTACCTCTATTCTCGGGCCATTCATTCTTCGAGGGTCGCTCACAAATTCTTAAACATTTATGACGTCGGGTCCTCGATGTGGCGTACCATGCGAGGCAGGCGCCGAGCGCTCGAAGTCCTCCGATGCATTCTAGCGCTGATGAACCTCACGCGGACTGCAGTTGCAGCCATGAGGTGAGGGTTGAACGAACCGACCTCTCCTTAAAACGAAATGATTGTCGACGGGTTGTGTAGAGGGAGAGGGCGTCCGGAAAGGAGAGGTCCCGAGGCGTCGTCGAAAAGCGATCGGCCGTGGTGAACATGCACTCGCGCTCGATCCGCAGGAGGTTCATCGTCGTTGCAACCGATCCCCCATTCGCAAAAGACTTTTCATCCGGGTGTCATCGTCTAGCACGAATCCGATCCCCTGCAGAACAAAATTTTTCGAGTCATGCTTATCACTCATTTCAAGGTCAAAAAGGCATGACTGTATTACAATACGGACATTTAACTAATAAAAAATATATTTTTATGTAAATAAAGCACTCTTAGAAGTGAAAACAATAAAAAGGAAGATGAGAGCTTCAAACTTTTGTGATATGATGGAAAATCCATATAGAGTAATATTGTTGAATACCATATTGTTTCATGAATAGTTGGTAAAATTTTGCGAGGTTTCTTTTCTTATGTCATGTTTTGATATCTATCATCCAATAATGACAACTCTTGAAAAAGTTGATAATCTTGCAAATTTTTTTGAAGATTTGTCTCATAGTGCCTTATGTGACACATACCTTGTGATAAAATTAACCTCATAGAGAGAGAAAATTGGCCAAATTACTCCTAAATTCAATCACGCTAGTTGAATTATGGGATCCAAAGTAAACTAATACTATCAAGAAAAAAATACTTTTGTTAGTTGATAGTATAAATTCTTGCTACAACACATTTGCAGTTGAACCACTTGTAAAGTGTACTATGTCTAAGATACTTTGTATATTTTCATAGTCGGGTTGTAGTCATGAATTCCCCCAAAATCTATATATGTAGCTACTTTTCTCGCTGGTGCAACAAATTCATGTGTATTATAAGCTCGATTATTGTATGTTTTTTATAGTTTTAGAAATAGCCAAAGAGTGGAGTATAATTAACCTAGATATAGCTAAGTCTAGCTAGTTATGACTAAGTTTAGCTAATTATAATTAAGTTTATCTAGCCAAGACCAAGTTTAGCTATAATGTTTATACTTGGAAACATAATCAGAACAGTTCTACAAGATTGTAGTGAACATTTATATTTTGTCTTTTACAAAAGTTTAGATTCTAAGACAAAAAACTTCTTACAACAAGATTAGATTTGATTGGTTTGACTTAGTGTATGGAAGATCATTGGTTACACTAAACCAATGTTGACTTAGAGGGAAGGGAAACTTATAGAAGTTTGAAAGACTCCAATAGCATGTTGCCACCTCAACCTTGGAATTGAAAAGTTTCTAGAAGGTTTAGGTATATCAATGACATATTGCCATGTATAAAGAGTTAGTCAAATCTACCTAGGTTTATTTTGGTGAAAGTAAATTGGAACATAATTACCACATGGGACTATTGTAATTTCTCAAGTAGTATAAGTACAGAGGTTTAAAGAGTTCATTGTGTAAAGACTTGTTTCATCAATGAAGCAATGAGGTATTCAGTATCTTGAAGTGTCGATGTGTGTGATGAGTGAAGAGATTGTGTGAGAGCGTGCTTGGGACTTGAACATGAGGGATCATTTTAGTCTTCTAGAACCATGATGAGATACTGCAAAACTATATGAGATAAACTTCAATGAAAGTCAGCCGGAGATTGCAGTACGGCATAAAAATTTGGTTACTGTCTTATTAAAGTTTTTATACAAATTATTTTCATGCTCGCTTAACAACAGCCTTCAAAAGCTATAAGCGTCTCAATTGATCAAGATAGACGACTCGACTCGATTAGTATTATGTCAAATATCCTTCCACACTAGATCGCGATACCGTAAGGAATCAGACTATATAACATAGATCAAGAGTACATCAATTCAACTGTCTGATTAGTATGTCTAGATATCCATAATTTTTGAAGCCACATCTTGCGCATGCAGAGCTTTTGAGAGAAGAGATATCAATATGCATGAATAAAATGCACAAATTAAACCAATTTGACAAGTCTCAAGACTTTCAAAATCAAAGCTTTGCAGGATTGAAGAGATGAGATACTCATCCTTTGTAACACTTCGGGAATAACATCTTTCTCAAAATATTTGTTAAATCATGTGGTGCTGCTCAACTACGACATTGATTATTTTTACAAGCCTTGGAGTCTCGTTTGCGATCTCATCTGTTTGTAATGAGTTTTTCATCATCCTAGTTTAATAGTGAGGAATCCAAACACCATCTTTCCGATACAGCTACGTTGTAAATGACTCCTTTTATTTCATGACAGGGCAAGAGCTGCACAATTGTTTGCTAGTATCTGTAAATGGTAAAACCAAGAGAAACACAACGACACAAAAATAACTTGGTTCATTCTCGGGGAGTAGGGCTACGTCCACTCAGAACTCTCAACACTTTACTCTAGATCTTGACCGAAAAGACGTACTGTACACGGTGAACTCTAAGGTATTTATCTCTAGTCAAGACAACCGTCCTAGCTATAAATAGCTAGGACCCGAGGATACTCCTTTACTGGAGTTAAGCTCAACAATCTCCCCCTTACTTAACTCACGTTAAGGAAAAGTAACCTCCATAACATACATTATTACTCTGCGGAAAGTTCTAGACATAAATCTAACATAAGGGTTACTCTTTACACTCGAGTTAACTAGAACTAAGCTATATATAAAACAGTATAGAGTAATCACATATAATGATAACTAGCAATCTCCCCTCTAACTCGTGTTAAGAAATATCAGTCACCTCTTTAACCTATATTATTACTCCGCGGGAAGTTCTAGACGGATGTCTAACACAAGGCCCCTTTTTAAACGAGAGTTAACTAGAACTAACCCGTAGTCATAACTAGATAAAGTAATAATATACAGAGTTAACTCAACAATCTCATTGTTTGTGATTGATCACGTCCGCGACCGTTATTGTCGCCTGCAATTGATGTCGCTCACGCCTTACTGCGCTCGTGACTTATCGCAATCATGCCTTACAATGCGTCCACGACTCACCGTCATCCGCGACTTACTGCATTCACGCCTTATGGCGTACTCGACGCCCTATTGCGCTTGCGACCTTCCCTCACTATCATCCGGTTGACTGTGATTATCCGCCTTCTGCGGTTGCTCCACCGAACGTGGTTGCCCCTCCTAATGTGATTCTTCTTTGACAGCGGTTGTCTCACATACCGTGATTAGCACGCCTACAACAGTTGCCCTACAAATCACAATTGGTCCACTTAACGTGCTTCGCCCAATCCATCACGGTTGACCTTCCAACTACGTTGGTCTTGCTAACCACGTTCAACTCAATCACGCGAGGTACACCCTATCGCTTGATCCTACAACTCTAGTACGCGTGCGAGGAAGAAGACTTCTTGCCGCCGCCGCCCTGCGATCCCCATTAGGCTCTACGCTCGGGCTCTCTCGTTTGGGGCATGAGGGAGATCAATCAGCCCCTTGTCAATTGGCCATTCCGGGCACGAGCCCTGCCGCTCGGTCAAGGCACTGCCCTGATTCATTTTCATCTTGTATCCAAAGATGAGACCACAAGCTTCCCCGAAGACAGCTATTTCGTTGCTAAACACCTCTCTATATTTGACTTCACTTTTCTCTAAAGTTGACACGCGTTGTTCTTGGCATCGACTTCGACGCCATCTCCGGTAGCTCTGACGCGGAACTAGATGCGTCTCGCTGCTGCTCTAGCAACGACGACGATTCTGGACTCCCCGCCACGAGCTACGTTCTGCCACTACGATCTATCCCCGAGAAACCTCGCGGACCTCGCATTGTCATGAATTCCTTGAATTCTGATGAGTCTTGTTATCAGATCAGTCTTGTGCAATTTTGTGTCTGATACTCTTTAATTTACCTTCATAATATTTTTGGCCAGTGGATGCATGCCCAAACTGCTTCCCATGAGCATCACTGTAGTGGACAATCCAACACTTTAGGTAGTAGAACAGTGCACACACCGTGTCATGAATGCTTGTAAGCAATCCAAAGTCCGGAACTAGAACTCGGTCATCTTTTTGCTCCGCATCACTCTAGTATGAGAGATTTCCCAATTTCTGTCTAGAGAGCTCCACAATACTGACAACTGAGCACAACCACCATCGTAGTATCATGAATTTCTAGAATACTGCGCAAACTCGATGCTACTGTCACCACCTTGAAGTATTACTTACTCCTCTATAATTTTGTGCGTGATAAGAAAGTGTTCTCAGAATATCATTCGTCATCCAAATCCTGCTGTTCCGTTCAGGGACGTCTGTTACGTGCGCGAGACTTTAAAAAATCTCTCTTGAAAAGGTTGAGAACCTCTTCATTGTCAACCTATCAATCTTTGAACAAACTGTCAGCAAAGTTTGTACTTCAGCAAAGTTCAGGCACTAGTAAAATCAACTCGATACACAAGCTGTCAAAAAAGTTTGTTTCAAAAATTTGAAATTAGATTAGACTCCAAATCTTTAAACCTGCTCTGATTTTTTTCACAACCAAGGTTAGTGAAAAAACATTCTGAGCAAATTAAGAGGTCTGTCATAGGCTCGAACTTCAAACGAAAATCAGGTTAAACAAAATCACAGCTCATTCACTTTGAGCCTAATCCGTGATTTCTTCCAGAAAACCGTCAGTAAATCTTGTGTCAATAACCTTTTGTAATCTT